GTTTACCTTGTCAAGTTGCTCTTTAGAATACACGTAATTAATAATGTCTATTAATATTACGGGCAGTTTGATTTCTCTATAAACAAATTGTTAGATTTATAATTATGGTATAATTATGATTAGATTTATAATCAGATTAGATTTATAATCAGTATAATTGATATAATTTAAACGACAAACTTTTATTTAATTTCATGCAATTCATGCAATATATGTTTCTTACAAAAGATTATTACCTGGATATTACTTTTAAGTTTTGCAATATATAATCGAGCACTAAATTATTTTTTGCATGTTTTGCAATAATGGAGTGCAAAACTGTAATACGATCTTCTTTAGTAAAGTTTTCTGATAAAAATATTTCTGATAAAGTTAGGTTGATGTAATTAAAAATGATTTGTATATCTTCAGTGCACGCTAAAGATACTAAATGATTCTTATTAAATTTTGCTAAAAGAAATACTTTGCCCCAAATAGTATTATTTGCTTTCTTTGTTCCTTCACAATATGTCCAATCGCTCCACCATGGATTAATACTAAATAATTTGATAAAATAATTATTAGAATGAGTTAAAAAAGCAACTTAGTATCTATGTCTTCTATTATTGACAATTTGTTATCTATTATATGATATTGAAAACTGTAATTGTGGAATATATTACCCCTCGATTTTAGGAAATTCTTGATATTTTTGACGATCTTTTATTAATCGTAAAGTAGCATTATTCTTACATATGTCAGAACCAAGTACGCATGCCCATTTTGCAGCTTCATGCCTTAAACTCTTAATTAAATTATTTTCATCTGGTGATTCGTTATATCCTAAATTATTTAAAAGAGATTCTAGAATTTGGTAAAAGTGTGTCTGAAAATAAACAAATATCATTATTACACTAGTATGTTAATTTTGGAAAAGAAAAATAATAAGAAAAATTTAATATAATTTAATATAATTTATTTATATTTTAATTCTTATGTTAATAATAAAATTTTTAATTTATTATAATATTTAGAAAAAAATCTTTCCCAAATTTTTTAATCTTCATTTTTCTTATAATATAAGTTTTCAAAAATTTCTGTCTGTTGGTGGAAGAAATTGTGATTTAATTTATTTCACATAAATCATAAAGTTAGACAAAATAAAACAATTTTTATAATATTATTTTTAGAAAATATTTAAAAAATATTTATAAGAATTTTTT